TAGCAAAATATTTAGCAATATTAGTTTTGATTTCGTTACAATTTTATGTTAATCAAAGTAGGTATTTGAAATAAAAATTATACGTGTAATTGTAATTCCAATCTGTACGCAATTTTACTAATTATAACACATGCTAACCGCACACTGCAGTCATTTTGTTGGAAACTAACTATTTTAATGTAATGCATCAAACCTGTGATCACTTTCACTTGTTATAAACAGAATTACTTACAGAGCGAAGGTGGATACAAAAGAATATTTTAAACAAAACATACGGAAAGATATGCACATAAATTTATTTATCTGCTGTAATTTCATTCTTTACCAAGATTAATGAATAATTCATAAAATTCTTCCGGTACCTAGTATAATTAACAACAAGTGTTCTAAAGTAATTCTGATGAAAGAATGTTATTATTTAATCGTGGTGTCATTTTTCGTTTAATCTTTTCAAACCTGCTATACAATTTAATTAATGCTTGTCCTCGAAATTTGGAGTCGTCTTCTAACTTACAATTATGGCAATAAAGATATCAATTTTAACTATACAATCTTAAATATATCAAAGAAAATCGTTACTTTCTTTATAGTAAAAATCGTAGTCAGACATTAATTTTTGTTGAAATGTTTCAAGAGTTATTAAGAAAATTATATACGGGGTGTTTCTTAAATATCTTATGAGGAGATGAAGCTATCAAAAAAATATTTTTACAAAAGTTATGTAGCTCAAATGAACAAATTATATGGTGTGAATTATAATAATTAGATAGAGCATCTTCTATCCTTGTACGACCGACTACGACTGTGAGATGTGTTAAATCTACCAACTTCAAACTCTAATTAAAGGCTTTATAATACAGGGAATGATCTCGTATTATAGGTCGATGAATTTGTCTAAACAAATACTACCGTATTATAGATTAAGATACATAAGGTTTCATTTAACAAAATTAATTTGTTTGTTAAGTCTTCCCCGCTACTTCACTCGCAACAAAATTATTTACATCATATAATTTGCTTTGTTGTACCTAATAACTTTTGTAAAAACAATTCTTTGATAGCTTCATTTCTTTATGAGCTATGTAACCATAAACGAAACCTTGTATATTTAAGGATATTAGTCAATAGTTATGTTCTGCAATAAATGGCGCTTGTATGGAGACTGACCAATAGTGGTCTTTATTACCATAAATAAAATAAAGGAAAATATTGGCAAAAACAATAGATCTTTCTGAAAATACGTTAAACGTGTATTACACCTGTATTCAGTACACCTTCCTCGGCGTATTTCAGATCCACGTAGTAGTAATCAGAAGCTTAGGTTCGTTAACGACTCTCCTCGCGACTTCCTCGAGCCCTTCGAAGAAGGTTCTCGTGCGGTTATTATCCGAGCGCGTGAATCGCGTGACCAGCGACGTCCCACAGCCGTGAACCCGGAACCGTGTATACACATTTTCTACACAAAGAATATTTTGTTCATCTTCTTCCATATCTCGCTCGTCGAGACGCCATCGACGTTGCGTTGGAGGAATACCGCGGAACAAGTGAAATTGTAACGCGTTGAGCGTTCCATAATAGAAAGTATTCGTTTGGTATGCACGAGAGACTTGTTATTGCTACAACCTGTCCAATCGTATTCGCGTTGAACGGAAATGGTAAAATAAAATCATACTAAATAAAATTCTAAGTAATAGTACGAGACAAATCGTATCAAACATTTTTTAAATAAATATTAACACTAACACTTTGTTATTACTACGATAGAATACGATTACGCGAAACTTGGTTAATATATTAACCATTGTAATGCTACATTTTAAATTGTTGAAAATAATTGCATCGTTAGTCATTGCTCTTTTGCTACAGGAATGTACATGATTCCCGAAAATATCCGGGATTCCCGAGAATACACGAGATCTCGAAAATGTTCGGGATTACCGACAATGTACGGGATATAGAGTAATATCTAGGATTTCCGAAAGTGTTGTTATTCTTGATATTAAAATTTTCCATTGACAGAATTATCGAAATTTGCGATTACTTTCTACGATATTGCTAACATAAACATTCCCGATTAACTTCGAAAGAAACTTAAAGTGTCGGGAATCCCGTACATTTACGGGATCTCGAAATTCCCGGGAATCCCGAACATTTACGGGATCTCGAAATTCTCGGGAATCCCGAATGGTTTCGGGATTCTCGTGTCGTGAAAATTACCTTTGGATAACGGCCATATGGGAAATGTTAGTGATCCCAGCCGTGGGTGGTATCTGCGGCATTCCGTTATACGTTGCACCCACCTTCGTTCTATAATATGGATCAGACTCGCGGAAAACGCTTTTACACGCATGAAGTCTCTTCTAGCATACTTCATTGGCATACCAATCGTTGTACAATGTTTTACGTAATCCTTCCTACTGAGAAAATTGTTCCGAACCGAGGTATAACAATTATCGACAAATCGACGAGTTTTCTTTTCCTGTTCTCTTGAATGTTAATTTCACGGTTTCGATTTATACTTCTTCCTGGAACAAGAAATATCGTCTTTCTTTGCGTTGGAAAGATGGAAAAAATAATTAGAGATCTCACGAATTGATATTTTTATAATGCGAGGTTCGTATTTATTATGATATTTAGTTTTTTGATGAAGAGGAGAAGATCAACAGTTTTTCATAATAAGAATAATAAATAATTCCACGTGTCCCTCGAGAATGTACAATTACGCAATCTTCAAGAAATATTCCGTATATATGCGAAATATTTTATGTCATATTTCTACATACAAGGAGAATACTTTCATATTTCGTTGCAACGAATAAAACAGTCGTGCAGTAGATTGAACTTATGATTTTAAAATAAAGTCTATGAAATTGCGTAACCTTTAAGAACTACTATGCGGATAAGAAAATTACTTTTATTTAACAGTATAGTATCGGAGGATCATGGATTTTGAATTGTTAATAATACTAATACTTGTCAAAATAAAAAATAATATCAAATTTAATTACGACACCTAATCGCTACCGCTTGATAAAGTATTGGTCTTCGTTTCAAAAATATGCTGCATCTAGAAAAAGCTTGAGAATCGCTCCGTTGTTGCACAATATTTCACAAACTTTTGCAAGCGTTCGAGATACACGCTGTAACGTGATAAAAGTAATCGAGCGTTAGATGCGATGAGATTGCGGGGTACGTCGGTTTCGTTTCTACTCCGTTGTTCTTTCTTCGACAAGAGAAAGTGCCAGGCGACACATTTTCATTGTAATTAAACTTGCACGAGGCCAAGATTCTCCCGATAATACGTACACTGTATACTGGCGCATGCCAACCTTCGTTCTCGAAAGTACATTGCAATAAATTTAGCGTTAATTTATCCTCCAATTATTTCGTAATATGTTCTCTTTGAGATTCGATAAATGTCATTCATACTTTTATCTTTATATTTTTTTTCTAAATTACATCCACTTGGTTTCTATGGTATATCTTCGCTTGGTTACGATTCGTTTTGTTGGCACATTGCGCGTAATTGCATCGAAATTACACTGTAATACTTTGACACGTTGAACGCCACGTCGCCCATATATGGGTGACAGAGCTTTTCACCGAGGAACTTCAAAAATTAATTTTAAGGACTGAGTGTTAATGAAAACGAATCTAAATAGAATTCGTAAATTTTTACAGGGATATAAAAATTGGTAATATGACAAACAATAGATTCTATAATTCCCAATAGTCTCGAGAGAAAATTTTAGTCTTGTATATATTTCCACGTGAATCAAGTGTGGCAATCAACGTGTTGAAATATAATAAAACACGTATTAAATTTGATTGCTTTAAAAATTGTCTAAATCGACGTTCCCCAGAACGAATCATACAGGTCGCCTATAGGAAAGATTAAAAATAACCCGAGTTAGAAAGTTAGAAAAAATTAGAATTATTACAATACATGAAGATCAAAACATGAAAAGGTGTGCAATAACATTCTTATCTCTTATTCTAGAAGAGCAAACACGACACAGTTGTTCGATAACCAGTGAGATATCCTAACGTACGATATTCCATTGAAAAATTGAAGCTGAAACATTGAAAATAAGAAATATTGATTTCTCGCATACGTTGGACTGAAGTTCGCTAGGAGACGGTTCTTCGAAAGTTCTGTATGCGTCAACCTCGTATCGAGAGCACGGTATTTTCTTAATGAAACTCGATGAAACTTTGATGCTCTAATAATTGCTTGCGGTTTTTCTTTTCTTTTCTTTTTTTTTTTTTTTTTTTTTTTTAATCGAAACTTTATGGTTCCGTTCGAAGCGAATACCTCGCGTGTTATTTCTCATAACATGATCGTTTAGCAGCGGCTGGACGTGCACGTTTTGCCATCGCGATTAAAAAGAAAAGTTTCAACTAGCGAAAGAAATAAAAAGAAAAAGGAAAACAGTGGAACGCGAAAGGCTGACGACCGATAAGCAAAATTCTTCGTCACGCGTGTACCGCTATACAAAGCATGAGTAAATACGCACCTGAAGGAAGGAACTCGCGGGCCAGTCAAGATCAGTGAAAACGCTAATTATTACGGAGAAATCATTAATTACGTCGCTCCTATTCCGTCTCTGTTTCGTCTTTCTTTTTTCCTGTAGCCGCTGTTCGCATCTCTGTCCCCGCCTTTCATTTCGCGACCGTTTCCGTCTTTCTCTCGTACGCAAAGCTGTTTTTCTCTTACTCTAAGCCTTCTCTTTCACCGTTGCATTCTTTCGTGGCGTTAATTATGCGAAGGACTCCCACGACTCGAGAATGCCGCTCAAGATCATGGACTACGGTCGTGCCAGACGACTTTTCTATGCATTTATTCCCAACATTTTCCTCGCTGTTTTCATCCTCGGAGTTTTCTCGGTCGTACGAGTTTAAGTTGAAGCGTTCCGCCGTTTCTACAATATAAAACAGACAGATGTTAGCCTGCGCCTTTGTGAATATGCTTGCGGTTCATTGTGGACGCGAATTACGTTATTCGTATGAAAAATTAACCAGCTTGCGAACGAAATGAGACAATCTAACAATTTTTGCAGGAGCTTGCAAACGAATGTGTTTAGAACAAGAGAAATATTTAAAGAAAGTGGAAAGATATTTGGGTGGCTTGGAAAGTTTCTGGCAAATTGGGTATTTTCTCAATTCAACACCGTCGCTGTTAGGCAAATTTAAAGCGGTTTGCGTTGGGCGCCAAGATTTAATACAAATGCGTAATCTAGATTATTCAGTAACGTTACGATATTAGTAATCTTGTTAGAAATAAGTCGTTGATAATTTTGTTAAGCTTTACGCTATGTGTTCTAGAATAAACTAAGATCTGTCGTCCTTTCTTTTTGATACTGTTTATAAAATAACTCACTTCTTCATCTTCCCTAACGATATCGAAGACGCATTATTAGTACGATTTTCAACTAGTCCTTTCGAAAAAAACCTATATTTATTATTTATGTCGAAAATGTGTAAAGCTTCCACAAGTGTCGCGGTTTGTGACAGTCGCATGTTTACGACGTGGGTACCTCACACTTCCTGAATTATTATTCGAATACCGTTCATCTGTTCTTCACGCATCCACAGATTTCATGGCGCACGGCAAACAGTGAAACGCTAGGAAGCACGCATCGCGCATTAACAGTAAAAACTGATGAATAAGCAGGCCTTTCATTGACAATAACTATATAACAGAAACATTTTCGATTTTACTGTGACTGTTTCGAGTTTGTTGCCACTAAACGTGAACACTTTCGTCTGGTAATACATAGATGTACGCAGTAATGCTGTGCTTTTACATTCATATATGTCTAACTCTAGTTTAATTAGAAATGTTTATTCCTTGTTTTGTTACGTCACAGTATCAACCTTCTAAATAGTCAACCTGATTTCCGTTAAAATGGATCTAAATACATAACTTATGTCTGAACCTAATGATCACTACAGTGTACCCATATACGAAGTTTAATAATCATAAAATTTTTCGAATTTTCATTCATGATTTTCATTCATTTTCGAGTATCTTCTTTATTAAAGACAATTATTTAAAATATCTCGCGAACTAATCAACTATTTAATACGAATGTGTCATTGATCTTATAAAATAAATATGGTTCTACAAATATAGTACTCTTCGAACCATTCATCTTTTCCCTTCGACATTTTTCTCTAAACGCACCGATAATAGACTGTATTAATAGACTGTGATGCCGGGTTTGAACTTTGTGTAACAATTTTTTTTTTAAACACACGTTCCTGTATAAGATTCATTGTATTAGGTTGTTCCGAAAGTTTCTTTCGCTTTATTAATAAGTAATACATGCACAACAGTTTATGTTTTATGTTACATTACTGAATTGTGCACGATTCATTTTGTTCCATTACTGTTACAACATGAATATCTACGAAATTATATTGTCTATTTATAGAAACACGATCACATCAAATAATTGAGTGCAACTCGCGAAAGACACTTTCGGGACAACCTAATATCACCCAAAAATCCAGGTCTTTGCTTCGAGTATCCTTTCACAATACTAACTTGTTAACAAACGATATGAAATACTATAGTATATTGGACGAACGAAGATTTCCTTGGTGTTTGTTAACCAGCACCGAATTAAAATTCAATATTATCCGCCCACAGTCGCCCACTATTGCTACTTGACCTTTGCCACATTTGGAGACGCTGTAAGCAGAGAATGTCGGTGATTCAACTCCCAAAAGTTTGTGTGGTTATATTTTGAAATTGCACAGCGTGCGAAGCATTATTTCAGTTAACAGATTTCGAGAAGCGCAAACAAATGTCGATACACGCTGCAAGGAGCACGCTGATTAGACGATGAATACTTGGCGCGCATAAACTGTTCCCTAAACGTCAACATTTGACCTCGAATTATTTCGCATACCCGCTAATGACATCTGAAAACACCCCACGCAGTATTAAGTAACCTACGTTGCCTGTGCACGTAGGTAACATAGCCTTTTATAGGGAGCCTCGTGAAAAAAAGAAACAGGGAAGGAAGCATGTTCAACGGAACTTTGAAACATTATAGAATTATTTAAAAAAAATTTAGGGCATCACTATGTTAATACTTTTTTTTGTAGAACACAAGAAGCTGCATCCATCTGTGTCGCCAGAAATATAGGTTTCCATTTTTTTTTTTTTTTTTTTTTTTATTTTAATGCAGTTGCATTTTCTGATGCACCGATGCACAAAAATGCACAAAATTAGTTCCATGTCATGCACCATCCGACACCATTTAACTTTCACTTTTAACATCTTTTTCTACTTCCAACCGTTTAGTTGCGTGGGACACTCAGTATATTTATGGTTTATAAAAAATTAGTTCATACATTACAATTCCACAAAATTTACGTAAACTTAATTTTGTTTTTATCATTTTCGCAAGTATTGCCGACAACGATATATCGTTGTTCGGCATTATAAGGGTTCACGAAAGAACTAAATGTAGAAAGTGAGGTGTTTGTTTTGATATCATTACGTATAGAATCTACCAACTATGAGCAATAATGAGAATCAGTTACTCAAAACTGTTAGGAAGTTCAGGAAGAAGCAACCATCCACACAGAATTGTAAGTTCTTGCTTAGTAAATCTTGTACATAGAACATTTTAACATGCAGATGTTATGTTTGGTGTACTGCAGCGAAAAGCCATCTAGAGAAGTAACAGCAGATGCATAATAGAACTGTTAGAATTATCTTAGACGTGCTAAGAGATACTAGAAACCATATAACTATGTAAACACTTGCACACGAAGGAAAACGTTGAAATACCTTTGGTCTTCATATCTCGTTACTACAGAGCATATGTGTATAGGAATAATAACTGCAATCCATTAATCAGGGAAACAAGGAATCATAAAATAAAGAAGATTCATTTGAAAATCCTAGCAAACTTCTGAAGCACGTCATAGTCAATCGCTACAATGAAGGAATTGTATTAGTATATGACAAATCGCAACGTATTCACTTCAAGGTGTTAAACGTATTTATCGATGTTAAAAAATGACACTATTCGGTTTTGGTATTTTCTGGAACTACATTTAAAAAATATTCCCAGAAAATTTCAAGTTGATTCGACTAAAAATACATTTTTCAAATCGGCGAACAAAATTTTTCAAAATTATATGGCAAATTATACGAAGTAAATAATGTATCGTGAGTGAAGTAGTGGGAGAGATTTTATAAACAAACTAATTCATCGATTAGAGCAAAAAGCGATTCATTTAAAATTCGTCCCTCAAAAGTTTAAAGAAAGCTGATCAAAATCCATAAAACGAAAGGAAAATTTAACAGTAAAACGATCGCATAACTTCTTTTGAGGTCAGTTTATAAATGTTACCTGAATAATTGAAGGAGTTAGATCACTCGACTGTGGACCGTAAATTCGCTACGATTTTATCACCGAAACGTTTAGTAGGTACGGTAGGATTGAAGATAAATTAAGGGGTTATCCCCGACACTACCCTCTTTTTATTTCTAATCTCGTTGCTTCGCCATTTGTATTTGAAAGACGGAAAGCTCAAATCCATAGAAAGACACAGCCTGTCTTTCAAACGGATTAACAAGCTGGCATCGCGTGAAAGTAAGGGTCTCGTCTGGCGCTATCCACACTCGAGGAAGTGGCCTCGAGTGCTCATTTGAATTTGATGCAGCTGTAGCGTTGCACAGTTTGTGCTGCCATATGGCCGTTTGTATAATAAAAAGATAAAAAATCGAAAAGTCCATAGATACCTAGGGGACTTCACGTTTGGTTGGATTCTTTGAAATAATCTGTATTTTCCGGATTTTCCAAAAGATAAACGAATTAATTAATTGTTTGACGTTTAAACACGAATACTAATACGACTATTATGGAACATATGACAATTTTCATGCATTAACCTCTTTTAAAGACGCTATATGCAAATGAATTTCTGTTTGGTCCAATTGATAATATACACAAACCAAAGCAATTGTTATCTGTAAATAGATTTTAACATATAAATATGCTGCCATATTTTAAAGTAATACATTTTTTTAGTTCTAAAACGTATTGCGAACGTAAGTAATGGTAATTTTGATATAAAACAATATTGCAAATACATACAGGGTGTCCCAAAACTCGGGGAGGAGCCGGAAATAGGGGGTAGCTAAGACGATTCTGAACAACAATTTCCTTTGCAAAAATGTCGGATGGGGCTTCGTTAAGGAGATATTAAGCGAAAACCCCGACCAATCGGAGCGCGCGTAGACCGCTACCGCGGCCGCTCGAACGGTCTACGCGTGCTCTGATTGGTCGGGGTTTTCCGTTAATATCTCCTCAACGAATCCTCGGACAACAATTTCGCTAAGGAAAAAGTTGTTTCAAATCACCTCTACTCTGTGTATACAGAGTGTCCCAAAAATGTTGTAACACCTTGAAAGAGGTGGTTCGGGAGGTGATTTGAAACAACTTTTTCCTTAGCGAAAATGTTGTCCGAGGCTTCGTTGAGGAGATATTAACGAAAAACACTGACGAATCAGAGCGCGAGGCGGTCGCGCTCCCCGACCAATCAG